GATTCACAACCACCATAGCATTAAGCCCTACAAACCAAACAACCTCTGCAGTAATCAACTCATGAAACCAAACTACAACTTCTAAAGGCAACTGGCTCAAAGTGGTCAGCACTGAGCTGGGTGTGGTGGCACACACCTGTAATCCCAGCAACCCAGGAGGCTGAGGCTGGAGGATCACAAATTCAAAGCCAGTCTCAGCCATTTAGCAAGGCTTGAAGCAATTCAGAGAGGCCCTAAGCAAATTCGCAAGACCCTGTCTCTGAATAAAATATTTTAAAAAGGGCTGGGGATGTGGCTTAGTGGTTAAATGCCAATGTCCAATACCAAAAAAATATATAAAATAAAATTAGCATTGTTCAGTGACTGTAAGGCAGGGAGAAGAATTTCAGCCCCATCTCAAAGAAGTTAATATCTCAGACACCACTACATGTTTTAAGATTCAGTTTCATAATTATTGCAGTATCAACAGTGCCCTTTTTAGCCATATGATTCTATTTCTTGTTTTGTTTATTCTTTTTCTATAAGTTTAATTGTCTACATATGCCAAGAACTTCATACTTGTGTAGTATGATCTCAATGAGAATATATGAAGAATCAGGAGATCTCAGAGAAGTCAAAAGAGATGGCAGGAATGTTTGCATTAAAGGATATGACCATCCCACATCCCGGGAATTCATTTAGAGCCTATATATTCTAAGTATACTCACACACTTTTTTTTTTTAAATCCAGAGACTTTTAACCACTGAGCCACTTTCCCTTTTTTATTTTATTTTATTTTATTTTATTTTTGAGGCAGGGTCTCCCTAAGTTGCTTAGGGCCTGGAAGGGGTTTAGTGAAGAGTGTTTGTTTTAAGATAGAAAAGCTTTACCTCTCAATTATACATTGAAGATATTGATTCAATAGCTAGCATTTTGAGAGGAAGATAAATGTGACAATTAGGGCAGAGATGGAAGAATTGCTGAAGAGAGTTCTCAAGGAGGCAAGACGCAATGAGATAGTTTACACAGGTGAAGGGAATAGCTCTGGCTAGAACATGGATAATTTGGCAGGGAAAAGCAGAGCAGGCAGAATATATACTCCCCATGCATCTTGGTAGGTAGATGTGATTATGGCAATTTGGGGAAATCTCCTGATTGCTTCTATTGTCTCTGTGGAAAGGAAACAAGGGGACCATCTAGGAGTGAGCATGAGAGATGAAATAGAGGACACTTGAGAAAAGAGGAGAAAGTAGGCAACATTCATCGAGGAAAGTTAAGTGACTGGACTTGAGCAATACAGTTAAATCCCTAGCAAGCATTAGGAATCCACTAACGGAATCCATCACATTTACACAGACATCATTCAATGGAGTTGAGTGGTTTTTTTTTTTTTTTCTCCAAACACATTAGAGGCAGATAGATTTGACCTGCTAAGCAGGACAAAGGGAAAGGATACAAAGTTATAAACATGGCAGTGACTATCATGTTGCCCATGGAATCTAAGTTCCAGAAAAGGAGGGAAATGTGAAGATGAGGGTGTCAGCTTCAGTGAAAATATGATAGAAGAAATGGATTTTTCCCCCCAGGAGAGCTGAAACGGATCAAGTTTGGATATTTGAAAGACTGAACTAGGAGGTTAGAAGTGGCACTCTGAAAATAAAATGTTTGAAATTGTGATTATACAGGGGTCACAACTAGGAGTAATGCAAGGTCAAGCATATAAGTCTTACAGGAGGTAGGACAAAAGTGTTAAAAGGAAAGAGGATTTAGAGGTCACCTTTCAGGAAAAGTCTATGAGAATATTCAAATAACCACAAAGTATACCAGAAGTAGAACTGTAAGAATAAAGGGAATCAGGTAATAAGGTCATCAAAGACTATAGGAGAGCCATAGACACTTGATTAGACATCTGATAACTAAATGGTGTGTAGTATTCTGAGACCCAATTTTTTAAAGTAAAAAAAAAAAAATAGAAGAGAGGAATATTTTATAGAAAATATAAAAAATAATTGCCAATAATTATATGAAAAAAAATGATGTGGCCACACAGGTAATCAGAAATGCAAAATAAAAACACAGGGTAGCACTTTACTATACCAAGTTGGAAAAGATTAAAAATCCGGCAATAAGAAATGCTTGCAAGGCAAGTAACCCAGTCGATAAATGGGTAAATAAATTGTACAGACACTTCTCAAAAGAAGTATGAAGGGTCAACAATTATATGAAAAATGTTCAACATTTTTAGCCATCAGGGAAATGCACATCAGGGTAGGGGATGTGGCTCAGCAGCACAGCACTTGCTTAGCACCAGCAAGGCCCTGGGTTGGATCCTCCGCACCACATAAAAATAAATAAATAAAGGGAAATGCACATCAAAACTGTACTGAGCAGTGGTGCATGCCTGTAATTCTAGCTGCTAGGGAGGCTGAGGCAGGAGGATTGTGAGTTCAAATCCAGCCTCAGCAACTTAGAGAGGCCCTTAGCAACTCAGTGAGACCCTGTCTCTAAATAGAATACAAATAAGGACCTGGGGATGTGGCTCAGTGGTTAAAGGCCCCTGGGTTCGATCCCCAGTACAAAAACAAGAAAACCTATACTGAGATCTTACTTCAGTTAGAAGTGCAGCCATCAAGAATACACACAATAAATGCTGGTGAGGATGGGATGACAGGATAAGAAACTCTTAAACAGTGTTGGTGGAAATATAAATTAGTATAGCCAATATGGAAATCAGTATGGGGGTTCTTCAAAAGGCTAAAAATAAATCTTCCATATGATCCAGCTTTACCACTTTGGGGTATTTATCAAAAAACAAAAAATAAAGACAGCACATTTTACAGATAACATGCATACCATGTTTATTGCAGCACAATTCACATTATCCAAGATATGAGATCAACCAAGGTGTCTGTCAACAGATAAATGGAGAAAGAAAATTTTATATACATATATATATATATATATATATATATATATATATATACACACACACACACACATATATGTATATATACATATATGCACACATAATGCAGTTTTATTCAGAAAGATTGTAAAGAAGAACAAATATTGTCACTTGCAGAAAAATGGATGAAACTGGAGACCATAATTTTTTTGAGTGAATAAGTCAAGATCAGAGAGAAAAGTACCATGTGTTTTCTTTCATGTGTGGAAGCTAGGAGGGAAAAAAAGGACCCCATGAAATTAGAAGGGAGACTAGGAGAGTAGAGGGAAGGGACCAGGGGAGAAAAGAAGGAACAGTGGGGGAAGCACTGGGGAATGAAATTGATCCAATTATGGTTTTGTGAAAGTTGCCATTCTGTACATTTTATATGCACTGATGAATGGAAGAAAAGTAGACAGGCCAGTAGACAGGCAGGCATATGAGAGATAAATGTTTGCAAGAGTGTAGTGAAATTGAAACACATTGGGCTCCCGGGAATGTAAAGCAAGAAAAAAACCACTGGAAATAAAACAGGGTAGGCACACATGTTAATTTGAAAGGCACGCACAGTACCAAATCAGTGTTTGTTAGGTGTATACAATAAATACATAAATTAAGTATATTTGATTTAAAGCCACGATTGCATTTGATTCTATAACCAACACAAATGAAGTATTTAATTTTGGGAAATTTTGCTTTATCACTTAGAGCCTCAGCTGTTGTAAGGAAAAAAAAGATCATATTTGGCGAGACCTGGGTGAGGAAGTACCAGGGATTGAACCCAGGGGTAACAATTTAACCACTGAGCCACTTCTCCAGCCCTTTGTTTTTTGAGACAGGCTCTCTCTAAATTGCTTAGGATCTCTTTAAATTGTTGAGACTGGCTTTAAACTTGGGATCTTCCGGTTTCAACAGGCCAAATCGCCTGGATTACAGATGTGCACCACCATGCCTAGGGAAATCATTTTTTAAAACAGTAAAATGGTGGACATATAAGTGCTCCATAAAAAAGTAAAAAAGCTAATTGTATTGCTTTAATTTTAATAATGCAATTAACAATTTTATTACAGGCCTTAACCTTCAGGAACAAACTGCCATAAAGCTTTTCATTTTAGTATTTAAAAAGCACTTTTCCTAAAAGAAAAATCTACATTTTTCATTTATTCTTAAGATAAAACGATTGTCAAACATTAAAAAGAATTTCAGGCCGGGCATGGTGGTGCAAGCCTGCAATCCCAGCAACTCAGCAGGCTGAGGAAAGAGGATCAGGAGTTCAAAGTCAATCTCAGCAACAGTAAGGCTCTAAACAACCTAGAGAGACCCTACCTCTAAATAAAATACATAAAGAGCTGGGGATGTGGCTCAGTGATCCAGTGCCCCTGAGTTCAAAGTACCTCCCCTTCCATTCCAAAAATAATAATTACAATAAATCCAGAATAGGAATGTACTCAGGGGTAGAATGCTTGCTTAGCATGTGTAAGTTCCTGAGTTCAATCCCCAGGATCAGAAATAACAAACGGGGGGGGGGGGTGGACTTTAAGGAGCCTTTGGGTGGGTTGGCGGTTGGGGATTACTAGGTGCAGGGGTCTTTTTGAGTGTTTTCCCCAGAATCCTGGAAAACATGAATTCTAACATTAGCCATCTTGAAATTCTATGCCTGTTTTTATCCCTCAACCCAAGAAACACCAGTGATTCTGCCCCCCATGGGCCCAGACAGGTATCTTCCCCACAGAGCCACACCACAGCCAAAGCTATTACCCAGCCGACTCCTCCCATCTAGGGGCGGAGCTCCGTAGGGGCGGAGCTAAGCGTGACACTGGTACTTGGGTTGCGCAGGCAATATAATTGGCCCTCCAGGGCGCATCCGGGTCAGTGCAAAGGAGCAAGGTTCCAAAGTGGGACGCCAAGCACAGCTGCGGGCGCAGATCCACAGAAGCTAGGACTGCTGCCCACGCGAAAGCTTAGCGCACCTCACCTATCCTCCGGACCAGACTGTCACCGCGCGCAGCACCGCGCCGCCTGCGCCCCGCACTCACTTTGCCCCGAAACGGGAGCATCCACCACAGCGCCCTCGACATGGTGGGCATTCGTCCACGCAGCCCCAGCGCCTGCCCTGCGCCCTGGGGGGGACCACAGCCTGAAGGACCTGGCCCTGCCAAGCGCCGCCGACTAGACGACCCTGCAGACCCCGCAGAGCCCCCGGCGGCACCCAACCTGCAAAACTCTGCAGCAGCAGCCAACGCCACCGCGCTCCCCTCCGTGGTGGTTCTGGCCGCGGGCTGCTCCTTGCAGGTACCCATGGACGACGGCGACCTGGTGCTACAACCTGCGCCAACCTCGGTCCTGCAAGTCAATCTCCAAGGACACAACCTCATTCTGATCCCTGAGGGCCTCTTGGGAGCCAGGGACCAACGCCCAGGAGGCCAGGGAGACTGTCCTGAAGACCCGGAACTGGGCGCCGTCCTGAGACCCCTCGGTGAGAACATGGTCGTCGAGCAGGGATTCTTCTGCGAAGTTATCCCAGATATCGTCAGAAAAATAGAGGCCTTCGAGGAGCAATGGATGGACCCTCCAGCCGGCCAGCAGGGGCCCATCCCATATCTCCCTGCTTGGGCCCCCACCCCTAGTCCAGTGAGGCGCTCTTCTAATCCCGCCTACGACGTGGATTTCCACCTTATGAGGCCCTTCCCCACCTCACCACTGCAACCTCTACCTCCCTCTCCAAGTTCAAGTCCCCAGGCCTGTCCGCAGCGCTCTCCAGGCCCTAGGAGCAAAGCCTGCAGACGTCTGTTCTAGGAAGAAAGGAACTTCTCCCCACCCCACCAC